AGCAGCTCCGTGGCCTCCTCAGGAGTTGCTCCATGACCCTCAGATGTTGGCGGAGCCCCCTGGTGCTGTCGTGACTCAGTTTCCCTTTCCCATCCCCTGGTTGGCTGCGTTCAGACCGTGGGATTGGGCTTTTAGGGATGCAGAATTCCCAGAATGATGCTCAGCCTCTGCTGGAGCTGGCTGCAATTCCCGTGCTGTGCCTTAACAGGCAGGCAGCCTTCACCCTCCTCCTCTTCCTCCTCCTCTCCATCACCACCGGAGCCTTCCCATGGCCGGGGCTGCAGCTCCGTGCTGCAGGAACTCGCTGCTTTCCCCCTGATTTGGGACCTGACCTTTTGTGGGAAGGGTCTGTGGGTCCAGGGGGGCTCGGGATGCTCCTGGCAGGTCCCCCAGCCCAGCAGGATTTGGGATATTTCCACTCCCCGTTGGCAGGGCAGGTTCTCCCAGCCCCTCCGAGCTGTTGGGCTCTGCTGGGGGATTTGGGGTGGGGAAAAAGCAGTGGGAGCAATGCTCCTGCTCCATTCCTTCTCCTGGAGCGTGGAGCCAGCTTGGCGGAGATTTCCAGGGAAAAATGGACAATTGGGGTACAAAGGAAGGGCTGGGGCACCTCTGGCATGTGGAGCTGTGCCCCGGAGCTGCTGCCATTCCCTTTGGGGCCAGGGCTTTTCCAGCTGTGTCTGGCCCAAGAAATCCATGGACAAAAGGGGCAGAATGGGATGGGAGAGATGGATGGATGGAGATTCTAAAGCTGCAGAGAGCCCAGGCAGGGCTTGAGGCTTAAGGGTTTGAGTTAAGAGCACGAGGAGGTTGTGGGTTTGTTTTTCTGGTGTAAGATTTGTCCTAACTGGCTTTATTTTCCTGTCTCTGTTCTGGCTGTGCCCTCCCCGCTGCCCTGGCATCTCCTGAAGAGCGAGACTCAAGTGCAGTAAGTCCCTTTCCTTCCTTTTGCTCCCACTTTTTGGTGGCTGCAGGGCCGAGTTTGATTTATCCCTTAAAAACCCACCTGGTGCCTGGGAGCTGCAGGGCTGCCTTTGGCACAGGGCTTATTAAATAACAAAACCAGGCAAGAAAATCCCTCATCCTGCCTGGGAGAGCTGTGCTGGGATGAGCTGGAGTCACCTTCTCCGTGGTGGTGGTTTGGAAATTTGATTGAAATCCCTTTGCTTGTGGCAGAACCTCAGGAAATTCCATCGTTTTTGGCTGGGTGAGCGTGGGCAGACCCAGAACCCCGGGGTGGTCAGGGAAGCTCAGGTTCATCCCTGAGCACTCCCCTTTTGTCTGGGGCCACCTGATTTGGGATATGGGGTTGGTTATTTCTCTGTAGTAAGCAGGACTTGGGAGCTCCTAACCAGGGAAATCCCTGGATTTTGGAGACCCGGGAGGCTTCCCTTGGGATGGATTCCCTGGGAGCAGGGATGGAGAGGGGATGTGGAGGGTGGCAGGAGCCAGCTGGGGGCTGAGCCAGCACTTCCCACCCCAGTTGAGGAAAATGGGACAGGAGCAGGAGCTGCTCTTGGGAAAGGCTGGGAAATGTGGGAAGGGGCAGCACAGGGAGGCACTGCAGGCGTCCAGCACGGCCTGGATGTGTCCCTGAGCTGTTGGTACTGGTGACAAGGTGGGACCTGGATGTGTCCCCAGCTCTGGGGGCTGGTGACAAGGTGGGGCTGGCTCCAGGAATGGCCTGGATGGTGACGCGGTGGGGCTGGCTCCGGGTACACCCTGGATGTGTCCCTGAGATCTTGGGGCTGGTGACAAGGTGGGGCTGGCTCCAGGAATGGTCTGGATGTGTCCCTGAGATCTTGGGGCTGGTGACAAGGTGGGGCTGGTTCCAGGTACACCCTGGATGGTGACACGGTGGGGCTGGCTCTGGGTACACCCTGGATGTGTCCC